AAAAGTTGGGTAAGTCATGTAGGGACTCTTGGATGTAGTCTTTCTCTCCTTATCAGTCTAGTAAAATTAGACAGGGGCAACTATTTGATCTGGTCTCGATCATGCTTGTTATCGGTGCGGGCAAGTGGGCTAAATGAACACTTGACAAGAACAAGTAAGAAATCCAAATATGTACCTGATCTAACTAGTGGATCTCGGAGAACTCGTTGGTGCTGACATGATTACTCAACTCGATACAACCTCATATTAGTTGTGGTTTTTTGTTTCTTGAGATAGCCAGTGAGATTTGGTCAATAGCAACTCAAGGATATTCACAAGTCGAGTTCAATGCTCAGATTTATGAGCTCTGGAAGAAAATGTATTAAACCAAACAAAAGGATCACAAAGTACTACGTAAGATTGATTAGTCTGTGGCAGGAGCTGGATTATTAGCAAGATTTTCAAGCAAGCTATGTAGGAGATGGTGGTAAGTTTCAAAGGTTGATAGAAAAAGAATGAGTATATGATTTTGTTGGTCTCAATATGGAGTATGATCAAATCTATATACAAGTTTTTGGTAGAGATCATTTTCCTTCCTTGAGCTTATTCTTATGTGAAGTTGGAGGAGAGTAGGAAGAGTGTCATGCTTTATACTCCTACTTATGATCAGTCTGCTCTTGTAGTTGTTCCACAGAGAGAGAATAGATCCTTTTAACCTCGTGGTAATGGTAAAAATGAGAGCATAGAAAAGAATCTTTTAAAATGTGGCTACTGTGGAAAGACGAAGCACACTAAAGACCATTGTTGGAAGCTACATGGTTGTTCTTCTAGGGGGCATGGTAGTAATAGGGTTAGTCCTATGGGCTTTCATACCTATAGGACTGAGATTGCAAATCCTAATCCCAATGCTCCATCTCTATCTACTGGTACTGATAGTGCAAGATCCAATGTGGATGAGATGTAGACTTTCAGGCATCTGACGACTCAACTTGATATTTCTTGTGCATTTGCTTCCACTTCCACTTCTGCTACTTCTAACTTTGCTCAAACAAGTATACATGCCAATGCTTTTATTGCATCTTGTTCCCCTAATCCTTGGATTGTCAATTCCGGAGTCACTAATCATATGACTGGTTCCTCAAGTATTTTCTCCTCTTCTTCTACATGTTGTGGTAGAGATAAAGTTAGGGTAACAAATGACTCATTGTCATCTGAATCAGAGAAATGTTTCATTCATTGTTCTCCTTCTATGTCTTTGTCTTCAATTCTTTGCGTCCTTAATTTTTCTACCAACTTACTCTCGATCAATAATATTACAAAGTCTCTAAACTTTTCTGTAACATTCTTTTCGTCTCATTGTGTTTTTCAGAAATGGGGAGAATGATTGACAATGGCAGAGCTCATGTTAGTTTATATCCACCGGAGGATCAACCTTGTCAGGCACTTTAGGCTTCTAGTTTTGTGGCCTTCCAACAGTTACATCAATGGCATCGAAGACATGGTCATCCATCAATAAGAGTATATGTTATAAGAACTTATATGTTGATGAAACAATATAATAAAAATATTTTTTTTTGTGATGCATGTGAATTGGCAAAGCATACAAGAACTTCTTATCTAAGTAATAATACTAGAAGCACTGTGCCGTCTATGATTGTTCATTCTGATATTTAGAGACCATCTAGTGTTGTTTATCTTTTTGGATATCGATGATTTGTTACTCTCATTGACTGGTACACTCGAGTTACTTGAGTTTATTTATTGCATAACAAGGATAAAATGTTTGTTTGTTTCAAGAATTTTATAAACTGATAAATACTTAGTTTGATGTCAAAATTAAGGTTTTCAGGACTGATAATGGGATTGAGTACTTCAATAGAGAATACTAGGTTTATCTTATAAAACATAAAATTCTTCACCAATTTAATTGTGTGGATACACCTGAGCAGAATGGTGTAGTAGAAAGGAAGAATCAACATCTCCTTGAAGTGGCACGCTCCTTGATGTTCACTATGGGTGTCTCGTCGTCCCTCTAGGCAGATATAGTACTCAGTATTGCATATCTCATCAATCAAATGCCTTCAAAAATTCTTGATTTTGCTACTCCTATGGGGTTGCTTCAAGGGTCAGTGTCTATTTACTCTATTCCTCCAAAGGTGTTTGGTTGTGTGTGTTTTGTACATAATTGTCGGAAGACCATGGGAAAGTTAGATCCAAAGGCATTGTGTTATGTCTTTATTGGTTACTCTGCCACCCAAAAAGGATATAAGTATTATAATCCTCAGTCCCGGAAGGTGGATGTTAGATGGATATCACATTCCATGAGACTGAGTCATGTTTCTCCACTCCTCTACCACCTCTGTAAGCGGAGCAGTGTATTTAAAAAAAAATGTTAAAGAATGGATTCTTGCTCGTAACTCCTAATCAAGGCTTGAGTCAAGAAAAATCTAGCCTGGGGGAGTCTTAAGGAGAAACACCTTGTCAGGGGGAGCAGACTACTTGTGGAAGGTTAGATAGGGAGGATTTCTAAATTTGTTTCTTCTGACTCTTTGACTTCCTCCTATCATGCTTTTGTTTCGTCTTTTTCTTTTATATCTCTTTCTCAGAATTGGCATTAAGTTCTTGCGGAACCCAAGCACAAAACAACAATGATAGAAGAAATAAGAGTTTTGGGAAAGAATGAATTCATGAGCTTATATCTCTTTTTGTCTGGAAAAAATTAGTAGGTTATAATCGGGTGTTCACTGGCAAGTACAATGCAGATGGTACAGTGGATAGATATAAAGCAAGGCTGATAGCGAAGGGATTTATTGAAACATCCTAGCATTGACAATCAGAAGACATTTGCTCCTGTAGCGAAGATGAATTTTATTCGTGTTATCCTTTCTTGTGTTATCAATCTGGGATGAGATTTACAATAACTGAATGTAAAAAATGCATTCCTTCATGGAGACGTAGAAGAGGAAGCGTACATGGATATTCCTCCAGGTCTTTTTTCTCCAACTATAGAGGAAACAGTATGCAAGCTAAAAAAATCCCTTTATAGACTAAAGAAATCTCCTAGAGTGTGGTTTGACAGAGTTCATAAGGCAATGATCAAGTTTCAGTACTGGCATGGTCATGCGGATCACACAATATTCATCAAATAAGGGAGTGGTAAGATCTCAATTCTTATAGTATATGTTGATGACATAATACTTACAGGTGACAATGTAGAGGAAGTGTCCAAACTGAAATTCCATCTTGCTAAAAAAATTGAGATCAAGGATTTAGGGCAGTTAGGCTATTTTCTAGGGATTGAAATGGCCAGATCAAATAAAGACATTTTCATCTCATAGAGGAAGTACATCCTTGATCTCGTGAAAGAAACCGACATGTAAGTTGTCGACCTGTTGACTCACCTATTGAGACAGACATAAAATATACAATGGCCGTTGTTAGCCAATTCATCCATGCTCCTCGGGTTCCCCATCAAGAGGTAGTTCATCGTATACCGAGGTATCTCAAAACATTTCCTGGCAAAGAAATATTATTCTCAAAGTAAGATCATCTGAGAATAGAAGTTTTCACAAATGCAAATTGGGCAAACCCCATTGATGATAGGAGATCCACTACAAGCTACTGTACCTTTGTAGGAGAAAATCTAGTTACTTGGTGGAGCAAAAAACAAGCATTGATGGCTAAATCCAGTGCAGAGGCAGAATACTGGTTTATGGCTCATGGTATTTGTGAGCTTAGGTGGCTGAAAACCTTCATGGAAGACATGGGTGTCCCTAATGGTGAACCTATGCGCCTATATTGTGATAATAAAGTTGCCATAAATAGTACTCACAACCCAGTTCAAAATGTCTAAACAAAGTATATTGAGATTGACATATATTTCATTAAAGAGAAGCTAAATGATGGGCTGATTTGCATGTCATTGTGACGACCAAGGAACAACTAGCTCGTGTTTATTAAGGGGCTTAGTAGTAGAATCTTTCATTCTGATACATGCAACTTGGGCATGAGAAATATTTCTACTCCAACTTGAGCAGAAGTGTAGAATGTTAAGTTATTTCAATTAAGGGTATCATTGTAATCTTCACTTTATTATGAGTTAATATAAATATGAGTGATAAGAGGATAGGCTGATTAATTCTCATTCTCCTTTTTTTTTTTAATACCTTTACTTTTTTTTGTTGGAGTTAGAGGGGGAGGAGGGAGGAGGGAGGGGACCTGAACCCTTGATCTCAAGAAGTCAAGGGTTAATTCTCATTTTCCTAAACCCAATTCTCTATTCTCTTTCTTCTTGTCTCTCTTTCTTCTGATTCTAAATCCTAAGATTTAAGATCTTCAAATTTCAATTGATGGTCCTCACGGGGATGATCAAACTCAGGACCTTTACGTTTCCGAACCGAGCTTTTGCCCATCTCATCTTAAAGCTACAGAATTCCCTTGACACATGCAATCTTGTTTTACCTTTATGGGGCAGCTACTCGGATAAATCCCTAATGATGGCTCTCACAGGGATGATCCAGACTCAGGAGCTCGACCTTATATAAAAGATCTTCTGCCCATCTCATCCATCCCTTCAGGTTATGTAGTCATGACTCGGGATTATTAATAACCACAACGTAATTGAGGAATACCTAAAGGAGAAGTCTATAGACCTGATTTCCTGGTATAGTTCGATTCTGAAAATTTGAAATAATGGTTTTTGAAAGTTTTGCCAGTTTTGGTTTCGGGGATTGTATGCAGCCCTAGCAATCAGATTTAACAAATAGATTCAAATTCCCTAACAATCATATTAATGTTCTTGTTCTTGTATTTTCACTCACTTCAGTAGTTCCTTTACCTATATGATCTCTGTGTCTTGGCAATCTAAGTGTTCACTTGTTTGAAAATAGTAATCAAAGCCATAGTTTTTATTTAATTTTTTGATTACTTTGTGAGCAAATCTACGGAATTTCGGTGCATGTATTTTTGGCTGGAGGAATTTCAGGATTTGATTACTTAATTTGGATGATCTAAAGTTTGCAATGCTTGCTTTAATGTTTAGTTTTAGGCCAGTTTATATTTTTCAGGTAATTTGTTTACTAGTTGGATGGGCTCTTCCAACTCGTTTATATAGGTGCTTGTTATTTGTGCTCCTTAAATCCATTAATATATTAATAAAAACCTCTATCGTTCAGATTGACGTGGACATTGGCTCATCATCCGTAGCAAGGGGTGTCATTGGTCTTGTCCTTGGATATATCACAAGCATTGTTGTCGATCTTGCAATCTTGATAGAGGTTTGTGTATACTTGTTACTGTTTACTGTGGAAAATTTCTCTCAATATACGTACGGGTTCTTCCTGTGGGATAGGCTTGTAATTAACTTCAGTTTCAAGCTCTGAATAGCTTACCTGGTGTTTTATGTGGTGCAATGTTGAATTTCTCTCAATATATATACCCTACTATATATTTTTTTTGAACAGTTCCTACTATATATTGACAGCATCTGTTCTTACAGGCAAAAGAAGAGGCAGAACTCCCAGAATACATCCTTGGAACTGTTCGACTAAATCGTCTGAGGGTCAACTCTGCTGTACCTTTGGAAGTTTGATGTTTCAATAGGTCGATACGCTCTATTCATGTTGTTCACCATAGTTAAGAGAATATTTTGTTTGGGTCCATTCCAGTGATGCCCATTGTCATTGTGTAGGATATTGATTGTATACGAGGGATCTGACAGTCGAAAATCAATCTAATATATGAGGAGAAAGCCTTTTTGCTGCTGCATTCCTACACTTGCACTCTATATCAGATCCTTTTGTATGTTTGGTCCCTTCTTCTGTTTTGCTACAAAAACCTTTTACTTAGCTCAACCTTGTCTTATAGTTGGACTGTGTTTTTCATTCATATTGGACGTGTGGATCAGGGTTCTAAGGTTCCCTGATATGTCTGTTGCTTTTATTTTGAGTTATGTTCATTTGGGATCAATCCTAAAATTTTAGAATCGGTCTTAATTTTTCTCGAGTAACTTGACCCAGGTACATGCGAAGAAATGATCTAAAGGGCTTTAGTTGTATATAGACCATTTATATACCTACAACTGTATAATTAGTACAAGTAATGGTGATAGTTAGTGACCTAAAAGTTAAATAATAGTATTCATTGGCATAAATTTATTGGGCTAATTTTAGTGGGCATCTTGACATTATGGTGCATTCTTATTTGATCCATAGGGTTACATATTCTATAGTCATTGTGAGAATTACTGGGTTGATTAAAGTGGACATTATGTTATGTTTTTACTGAGCGCTTTTAGTTTTTTAAATTAATTAAGAGATTTCCTACTTAATATTGTACCATATTTTTAAGGAGCACTTAATATATTAAGAGAGTTTAAATTTTAGTTATTAAACAGACTTAATTAATAAGTATCGAATATATTTATTTTAAGTGCTGAATTTGGATTAACAAAAACACTCTTAGTCTGCGTTGCAACCCAAACTTAATACTTTATCAGGTATATAATTTATAAGTTACCTCTAATTGAATAATGATCGAGGTAAGTGTGACGACCCTCTCAATTTGATGTTTACGAAATTGTATGAATAAAATGTTTATATCTAATTATTATTTAATCTAGTTCCAAGTTCCAACATATACAAGTCTCATTTAAGTGATATTTGAACCTTATAACTTCCAATTGGGACCTATGATGGTTGACAAGCACTATCTTCTTGCAATATTTTACCTACTGTATGATTTTTGGTGCTGAATGATTTTGGGACACTCTCGCACTGTGTGTGTCTCTTTGCTGTCTCTACATTCATTTTTTAGTCAATGGGACCATTATTAAAAAAAAATTTGTGTAAAAGGATAAGCTCTTACCTAAAAGAAGAAATTGAATTGAAACAATTGCCCCTTTTCCGATCAACCACTTTTATACTTACTCCACCTGCAATCCCACATTAGCTTTAGTTTAAATGGAAATACATTTACTTTTTGATTGATTGATTCTTTTTTTGTGCGGGTTGACAATTATTTTTTTAGATTTAAAGTTACTTGAATATATTTTCATATATTTTTTTAATGGTAGATTACTTGTTATAATTTCAAGTGAGACCCATTACTTAAAATTCCGTACTTCACCAATTTAAAGTGAGTTATCTACCATTAGCAAAAAATAAAAGATCTATTGGGCATCTAATACTTATCTTTTGTGTTGAATGTTTAGTTTTTAGTCTTTGGTTAGAGTAAATTACACTTGTCCTTCATGTGGCTTGAATTCTAAACTTTTAATCTTCTTTTGAGTTCAAATTTTACAATAAAAAAGAGAGATACTATTTAAATATTTTAATTTTATTTATCTTTAACCATAAATTATGTCTCTAAAGCTAATAAGATTAAAACAATGAAATAAACAACTCAAAGGTAAAATAATCCAACCTGACACGATATAACTTTAACATGACACGAATACAACACGTCAACCCCCATTGAGATCTCTACTTCAATGCAGCTAGTTTAGCAGTGGGATCTTACTCACCAAAAGTAGAGTTGCTAGTCTTAGAACAGATATATGTTGCGATTACTTGGTGATTGTACTGTATTGTATGATTAGATTAAGATAGTAAGCATAAGCTCCTACTCTTTGGGCCTTTAATGGGAATCCCCTTTAATTGATTTCTTTTTCTTTTTCCTAAAAAGATGTGTTGTTCTTACCCCTTGATCCAGAAGGTGGGTGCATGTCTTTGTCAAATATGTCTGGGGAAAACTTTTCCATGATTCTTTTTTTTTTTTTTTTTTTTTTTTTTGAGGAGTAACATTATGAAAATCTAATTTGAGAAATTAATTAAATATAATTATTAGATTACTTATAAGTTTTAATGTTTGATGAAACTCACTTTCAATCCAACAATTATAATTAATTACATCCTTTAAATTAGATTTAAATTCCCAAAATTAAGTTGAGTCCTTCATTGGGAGCAGGTTCATGGCAACAACTACTTAATTTGGATCTAAGCTAAAAGGTAATGCTTTGTTGACTGGTATGCATGGGTGGGTTAGAAATTTGTGCTCAAAGTTGGACTGATCTGAAATTTGTCTGCTTACTTACTCTTTTATTATTTCTTTCTTTCTTTTTTTTTTTTTAATTTTTTTGATGCAGAATAGATGGGTGTGAAAATTGGGTTGACTGGATGGATTTTTAGAGGTCAATTCATGATTAAACTAAATTATAAAATTATTTATTTAAGCTTAATCTGAATTTGAATTCAATCCAAACTCTTCAATTCGAGTACTGCCCATGATTAACCTTTTGAAGAGGGTGAAGTGGGTTTACATAACTCAACTTGAAATTCATATTGAAAGCGGCTGAAATTCGAGTTTGATTCCTATGTTACACCACTCTGATTGAAAAACAGATTAAATTACGTTTAAACCCACTTATTCAGGTGGTTGGTGTTGGGTCTAGAAAACCCTAGATGCCAATCTGTGAAGTATTTGAATTCATGGACGGAACTAGTATTTTTATTCTTGGGACACACAGTAAATATTGAATACAACAATAATAATATGTCAGTATTAAGAAAACAGAAAGCAGGTAAGGTTAACCTCATTTAGATAATGAGTAATGCTATATTAACTTAAAAACTAGACTTGATAATCTCAACCATTGATTTCACTGTGGATCCCAGTATTTATTGGGACCTACTACCTATTCAATGGTTGAGATTATCAAGTCTAATTTTTAAGTCTACCTTTTAAATCTATGTAGCATTACTGTTAGATAATTATTTGCTTACATTACATAGAGGAAGAAGTAGTTATTTGCTTATGTAGAGGGTTGATTATTAATTTTAGTGGGACCCATTTGTTTTGATATTATTGATTGGTTATCACGTCAACATTATCACGTGGTATTACTGTTGTAATGAATATTTTTCTCACCAACTTGACATAGTCAAGAATTTTATTCAATGAGATTATTCATCAAGATATCATTAACGATAAATTTTTAGTTATGTTGAAGCTATAAAAAAAATCAACTTTCATAAAAATTTATTTGTGATTGCGTCCATTTATTCTTACATTTATAACAACATGCTATGATTATAAATATAGTGTGATTGCAAGTAATAACTTCACACAACACTATAATAAATAGGATATAGGTCACATTTGTAAATCGATATTACAGTTATTTCACTTGTTTTTCATTATTTTCATTAAACCCATCAAAATAAGTATCTTCTTTTGTAAGAGCAACATTCGTCCATATGATTACATCTATCATTTAACAAGCCACTATGCTTTTTGAAATCTCTAAAATATCCAATATATAAAATTTCTTGATGACATAAAAGGGAGTATAAGATATTTTGAAAACTTAAGGAAGTTATAGGAATTTTTAAAATGTGAGGGGGACCACGGACACTTCGTGGTTTCGCTAGTGCTTGATTTTAAATCGGGTTGTGATTTTTTTTTTTTTTTTGTTCAAGCCCAACCCGATCATTAAATATTTTATGTTGGACTCAAATTGAATTTTGATTAACCCACCCAACTTACAATTCTTGGCAGGAGTTTGTGGTCCGGTTAAATTACTCCATGGTCTAAAAGATCTAGAGTCATTTTTGTGCCATGATGCTGTAAGAGCACTGAAGCAGATTAATGTTTTTTAGAGAAAAACTTATGAAATATAAGTTATATTTGTAATTCCATCCATTGCTAATTGATTGGGACTCATTAAATTGTCAAAAGACAACATACTATTTTGGACTTGACTTCCGTATTAAGAAAAAAAAATTTGGTACCTTACTTCTAAAATTTATTATTTTAATGAGTGTTTTTATAATTTTTTTTGGTTATTTTACAAAAATAAAATTATTATTTTTTGTGGGTAATTTACCACTTTTGTGAATATTTTTACCATTATTATAATTATTTTTATCACTTTTGTAGGTAATTTGTAGCATTCGTAAATATTTTTACTACTGTTATGGTAATTATTTTTACTATTTTTTTTGGTACCACAATAATTGTTAAAATACTGACGAAATGATAAAATTACTCATAAATATAATAAATATTAGTATAATACTGATTTTTTTTTCCGATATAGTAGACAACTCCAACTTGGAAGACGGTCAAGTTAAATATCAACTCTCTCATTTAATTTAGACAAGACTTGACAATCATGTCGGATATGACAGACTTGTATCGGGTTTTAGTGGGTTAATGTCAAAAAACACTTCCCTCATATTTGATTCGTTTATTAATTTGTGTTTAACAAATTGTGTTATATCGAGTTTCTGTCTTATATGAATCGTGTATAACTAGTATATAAATGAGTCATGTTGTGTATTTTTTTTTATTGGTTTCACTCATACCTAATTGAGTTATAAATCATATGAGTAGGGGTCCACTCGTTTATAAGAAATAAAGGGACTTAAAGAAGACTACAACCCTCTAATTTTGTATTGTATTTATATTATTTTAATAAATCAAATTACATTTTAACACCCCTAATTTAGACCATGATGTCAGGCAAAAATCTAATTCCTTTACCCTAGTCAGAAGAGACCAAGTCCTCATCAGTTGCATATAGCAGGAGAC